CGCCCCGCGGCCGAGGTCTGCCGACCCTCGGAGCAATGGGGCAGAGTGTGCGCAGAATCTTGGGCCATGACTGTTTTCCTTCCCACCCGTGGTGGGAGGAGGAGAGCGGCCCTCCACCCTCCCAGACAGCTTTCCTCTTATTCGCCTCTTGAGAACATTTTCCTCCGATTTGTTTGGTTTCATTCTCCATCCCTTTTCCTTGCCCACTCCTCTTCCTTCTGAACAGCGCCTCTCCGCAGCTAACTTCTGTCAACTGTTAGCTAACAATTGAACACCTGTTGGATGTCAGGCTCCACAGCGCTGGGGTGAGAGGTCAGGGACAGTGAGCCAACTGCCATGTTGGCCTCACACACATAGGTCTCCCCTGATACTCGTTCAAGTCTCACTCCTCCCCACTCCTGTCCTGCTTCGTTTACCCTTCCACTGCCTCCGGTGCCATTTCTCTTCTCCAGGGCACCGAGATCAAAACTAAAGTCCTAGGCCCGCCGCTTACAGGATGATACAGGACAAGCCATTTCTCCTTTCTGGGACCAGTTTCCTCATCTGTAAAAATGGAGACACTATATCCACTGCTCAGGGGTGCTTTGAGGATGTAGTAAGAACTTGCATAGAAAAGCCCTACAATACAGCATTATTTCCCTTTCCATGTTATCCCCTGTCCCGTCAGGTGGGCAAAGTTCTTTTCTCTTCATACCAGGGGTCTGGTACCAGGCAACCCAGGTTGTTTCCAGTGCTGCATAGTCTTAGATGTGGGAGCAGGAAGCCAGAATGTTTGTGAGAGGATGAGGGCCACACTATGAATTACCCTGAAAAGTGAGGAAGGAGAGAGTGCAAGAAAACAAAAGTGCTTTCCTAGTTCTTAATGTGACATCAATCAGCTGGTTCCTCTCCTCCCACAAATGAGGAAACTGAGGCTTGTGGATGTTACACTGCAAGTGACAGGAACAGGTCACACTGCTAGGATCTTTCCTCCCATGAGCCCTCTATTGCTCATCTCCTCACTCCTCTTCTTCCCCTGAGGGGGTCTGGGTCAGTGACAAGGTGTGTGGGAGAAGGAACAAAAAGAGAGAACCTTCAAGGAGCCAGGACCTTTCCACTAGACTTCATAAAATTTTAACATGAAAACTTCCTTAAAGTAGGAGGCACATACCATATGCAAATCATATGCTAATCACATGCTAATCCAAAGTCTGGTCCTCAGAACTCTGACACACACCTGGCTGTAAGCTCTGGGGGAAATTCTTGGGAGACCCCTGGGTTTCAGGACAAACCAGACAAGAGAGGTATTCCATTTAGGCTCAGGTTATAGAGTTAGGGTTCATTTTAGTATTGAAGAGGAGTCAAGTGTATAATTTGGAATTAGGATCAGGGTCAGTGCAGCATCAAGGATGGAGGTTAAGGTAGGATTCAGACTGGGCTGTGCTTTCATTTTATTTATTTTGAAGTAAGCTCTACGCCCATTGTGGGGCTTGAACTCATGACCCCAAGGTCAAGAGTCTCATTCTCCACGGACTGAGCTAGCCAGGTGCTCCTGGGCTGTGCTTTTAAAGCAAGGAGTCTAGGGGACCCCTTAAAGGCCTCTTCTCTCCTCCCCTTCTCCCATCAGACTCACCCCCACCTTCACTGCCCTTGCTGCGTCCTGCAGCACACCCTTCCCTGCCTACTTCCCATTCCCAACCACACCACCTTCATGGGGCCTCTCAGTTTGGCTGCCTGAGAAGCTCTGGATAAATCGTCCCAGACCCCAGCCTGGGCCTCGGCATTTCCTCTTGAGCTCAGACACTTGGCTTCTGGCCCCAGGAGCACCGGCTGGCCTTGACCCTACCCAGGTCCCTCCTCGGCCGAATGTGACAGCTGCAGGGGAAGCAATAAGGACCTGGTGAGCTGGCAGCTTCATTCCAGAGCGTGGGGAAAGAGCAACAGAACATGAATAAATTCATGGAGCTGGCCCCTCAGCTCCCTGTGAGCTCCCCCCACCACACAGACCCGCTGCCGCCTGCAGCCCTGCTGGTCACCGCAGCTCACAGCCTGGGCCGGGGACGGGAGGAGAAGGGACGCTCCAGAGAGAAGAGGGCTGGGACCTGAAAGGGGCTGAGGTGAGGGGCTCAAAAAGAGGGCCTTGGTGAGTAGGAGAGTGGGATGGGGAGTGGGGCTGAGCAGTGAGGGTCTCTGGTCAGCGGAGGGAGGGCAGGAGAAGGGGGAGGAGGAAGGAGAGGGTGGCAGGACCTGAGAACGATGGGGCTTGAGGATCGGGCAGGGTAGGCCAGCGTGAGCCCTGGCCTGCTCTCTCCTCTCTGATCCATCCATCATCCAGCCTGGGGGAGCAGTACCGGAATTAGACATGCACGGGGCCGACATGGCCCTCAGCCCCCCGAGGAAGACAAATGGCGACAAAGACCTTGAATAAAATTTGTATTTATGGTTGGAGGAGGAGGCCCCTCCCCCACTGACTGCCAATCCTTTCTCTCCCAACCCTTTCAAGCATGTAGGGGCCTCTCTCCACACCGGCCCAGCCTCAGCAACCTCTTTCTTCCTGCACCATTATGGGCTAGGAGGTGCAGGGAAGGGGTACAGAAAATGAGATGAGGGGAATCACCTTCCACCCAATAATCCTGGTGTGCCCTGTGCCTTCTATTTTGCACAACTTATGCCTATAAATCACAGTCCTGGCTTAACCTAGTCAATAAGAGGTCCTTTGCAGCTGTCCACCTCCAGGGTCTCCAAACATCCTCACTTTTGCCAGAGGTGAAGCCCCTTCTCCAAACCTCTGGCCCTGGGGTCCCTTGTGAGCAAGAAATTCCCCCCAGAGGTGCCAAACCCTAAGGAAGGATGCAGCCACTGGCTTTCTTCCTGGACCCGGATCCCCCACAGAGAGGGATCTATCAAAGCTTGTGTCCCCTCCTGGTCACTCAGAGTGACAGAAACAGTCACCTCTCACAGGAAGATGCCCAGCATTTAATCTGCATTTTAGTTGTGTTAATTTGCATAACCAACTTCAAATCCCTCCCTCAAACATGTGTTATATGGAGACCAACTTCTTTGGGTTTCCATCTAAACACAGACTTTTAGGAGGGGAAAAGAGGCAGAGATGCTGGGGCTGGACAAGTTCTGGAACTGGGGCAGGGGTGGTGCTGGGCTGGGCAGGGCGGGGCAAGTGAGACTATAGCTGCTTTCTGACTCTTTCTCCCCAGTAGATTCTCTACTCTTCAGTCCTAAGGAGAGATGGCATTCATGGGGTCCCACATTTAGACACTAAGAGGAAGCCAAATACAAAAACCTCCCTTCAAACAGCCCTCATACATACACACACAAAGACAACACACATCCACAATCCCACTCACCCAGGAACACACAAGGCCAGGGTCCCATGGCCTGACCGCACTTGCCAGCACACTGTCACAATGCACAGACCCAGAGCTTACCACTCTGTTGGAAGAACCGCCCCGCCCCCGCATCTTCCCCACAGTTGATATGTCACATTGGAGTCCGAACACGGACCTGGGTGTCTCTCTGCAGCGCGCCATTTACATTTCTCTCTCGATCTGTCAACCTGTCTCAGCTCTTGTCTCTCTCTCTCTGTCTCTGTCTCTCCCTCTCCCCCTCTGGGCCTGTCAGTTAGTCTCTTTTCGAAGCTTTGTCTCTGTCTCTGCGTCTCTATCTGGCTTTCTGTCTCTTTGATTTCTCTGTCGCTCCTTCTCTGCTTTCCTGTCGGTTTCCTGCTCGCTTCCCCAGACTGATCTGTTTTCTCTCTCGCTCCCTCACCCTCTTCTCTGCTCTGCGCCCCCACCCCAACGCTGGGGGTCGAGGGTAGAGGTGGCTGGAAATTTGCCTTTTCCAATTCAGGCCAATATGTACTCGTTGAACCCTTTACCAAATGTTATTGGGACACGGGCACTGAGTGGCGTGGGGTGGCGAATTTCTTTTAACCCCCTTTTTTTGTATGTTTGTGGGCTTTTCTTTTCTTTTGGTGAGGGGTGCTTTTTAGCTCTGGAATCCACCTCTGTCTTCTTTCTGCCTGTATCTAGACCCCTTTTTATCCCATGTCTATTTCTGGCTTCCTCTGGGCTCCAGGAATACCGAACTCAGGGTGCGGCAAAAGTAAGGATAGGGTGGGGGCAGTGAACCCCTGCAGAATCCTCTCAGAACCAGGCAGGCACCGAGAAGCTGGGGGGACGCGGGTGGGGGCCTTTGCCTGCCCCGCCCCCGCGCTTCCCACTCTGGGCGCCAGGGGTCGCTCCGCCCCGGGCCGCTTATAGAGGCTCCCGCCGCGCAGCGGCTCACACCACCCGCACTGCCGCCCCGGGAGGGAGGGGAGGAAGGTTAGGGACGCAGAGAGGGAGAGCTCTAGCTGGAGAGAAACGCGGGGCCAGGCTCTAGCAGGGGCTGGGGCCGTGGCTGGGGTAGAGAGGCTCGTCAGTGCTCTCCAAGAGCCAGAGCGCAAACCTCCAAGGAGGTCGCGTCCGGTGGGCGCCATCCGCAGCGCAGAGCCCGGGACGTCCAGAGCGCGGAGAGTAGTCCCCCGCTCCGGCCGGGAGCGATCCGTCTGGGTAGCCGGGGACCTAGGCGCCGCCATCCTTAAGAAGGCAGCTATCCGGAGAACAGGCATCCTAGATTTGTAAGAAACCAGCCGTCCGAGAAGCCGCTGATTTCAGGCGCCCGGGAACGTTAGGCTGCTCAGGAGGGTAATAGAGGACCACGGGTTTTGAACCGTCGGGAGCCCCCTGGCCCAATTCACGGGGCGGGGGGGGGGAACCTCCGCCTTGACGGAAGGTTTGGGGAACGGCACCGCTGAGGCGGGAGCCCGCAGGGGCGGGGGGGCCGGGCGCAGCCGTCGGGGGGGTCCCGACCCGAGCCCGAGCCCGGCCACCGCCTCCGGGGCCCGCGGAGAGCCCCGGGCCTCCGCCGCCATTGCGCCCAAGAGTGAGGAGGATCTGCTGGCCCTGGCCGCGTCGCGGCTGAGCCGCCGCAAGCGGGTGGCGGGCGCGGCCGTCGGGGTGGCCATGGTGCTGCTGCTGCTGGTGGCCATTCCGCTGCTGGTGCACAGCTCCCGCGGGCCGGCGCACTATGAGATGCTGGGTCGCTGCCGCATGGTGTGCGACCCACACGGGCCTCAAGGCCCTGGACCCGACGGCGCGCCCGCCTCCGTGCCCCCCTTCCCTCCGGGCGCCAAGGGAGAGGTGGGTAGGCGCGGGAAGGCAGGTCTGCGAGGGCCACCGGGACCTCCAGGTCCCAGAGGGCCTCCAGGAGAGCCCGGCAGGCCAGGTCCACCAGGTCCTCCCGGCCCAGGCCCTGGCGGGGTGGCGCCCCCTGCCGGCTACGTGCCTCGCATTGCCTTCTACGCGGGTCTGCGGCGGCCACACGAAGGTTACGAGGTGCTGCGCTTCGACGACGTGGTGACCAATGTGGGAAACGCTTATGAGGCGGCCAGCGGCAAGTTCACCTGCCCCATGCCAGGTGTCTACTTCTTCGCTTACCATGTGCTCATGCGCGGCGGTGACGGCACCAGCATGTGGGCCGACCTGATGAAGAATGGACAGGTGAGATGCCCCCACCCCAGGCCCAGAGGCGACTGGGTAGCTTTCTAAATCTCCCTGCACTCCTTACATTCGAGGGCTGCTTTCGAACCCCTCCCCCAACAGCGTCACCGACTCTAGAAACGCCAGGCTGCCAAGAATTTATAAATCGTTTCATCTAGCCAAAGAGGGATTAGTGGCCAGAGAAAGGAAATGACCTGCCCAGGGTCTCACCCAGCATTAGGAATGGTGTCAGAATCAGAACTCAGGACACAAAGCTTAATGTCTCTACAGCTGCTATCTCACACTCCAACTATATAGGCAACCCTATATCAAATTTGTTTGGTGTCTCCCCTGCCAGTTAGCATCTTTTCTCATCCTGTCTTGGGCCACCTTCTCTCCTGAGGCAGGCCTTCTGGCTTTCGGGTTTTCCAGCCTCACAATGGTTGAATTACCTGGTGTCTGGCTCCTTTGAATTAGAATGGAATCTAGGTCTCTGGCCATGGGCTGTCAGCAGCTGTTCTTGGGGGGGCGGGGGGGGCATTCAGCTTGGATTTTTGAGTTGAACGTAAAAAAGAAAGCATTTGCCCAGGGCCTGGGACCACTTCTACAACTGGCTTTACCCTTACTAATACTGAGTCTGTGGGCAGAGGTGGAAATGATGTGGCAGCTCAGGGGCAGCCAGGCGGCATGATGGAAGGGATTTGGAGGAGGAAAGAGGCAAAGGGCAGATTAAGCAGAAGCTTTGGCCCTGGGCCTGGTTCTGTAGGCCCCACATCTTCCCTGGCAACCTCTGGCCTCCAGGTTCTGCTACTCCCTGTCTCTATGGGCAGAGTTGGAGTCACTGGCACTTTGGCTTGGGAGAATAGCTCCAAGGACTCAGCTGGAGGACCAGCACACACATAGAGTGAATGAGAAGCCGCAGAGGTGGGGGTTCGGGGAGGTGCCTGGGCCCCACAAGCCGCAGGAGGTAAGACTGGGGCTGAGTGGTGACCTCTGAATGCCTCACACCATGGGGTGGTGGTGACCATGGCGCATCAGGCCTGCTGGTCTTGGTGTCCTGACCCAGGTCCTGTTCTGGCTACAGCACCCTCCAGCTGGAGGACTAGCAGGCACTGCACTGGGGTCTCCTCCCAGCAGGGCCGCCCCAGGAACCCAAGGAAAGAGACTATCTGTGTGTCTGAATGGGAGTGAGAGCTGTATGTGTGTAAGGGAGTGAGAGTGAGAGTGTGTGTGCCTGATGAGAGTGTCTGTGGGTGCAGGGTGCCAAGGTGTGAGAATAGAGCAGCGTCTATGTGCATGTGGCACTGAGTAGGTGTGTGTGGTCTATGAAGGGTGTCTGTGAGCAGGAGGAGGGGGCTGAGTGTCGATCTCGAGTGTGCCGGTTTCGGAGGGAGCGGGGGCCGTGCGGCTCCCACTCTGTATTCTGCGGCGCGGGCGCTGCGGCCCTGGGGACGGTAAATAGTGATTAGAATAATGATGAATAATTAATGAGTTAATAACCAGCCCCCGCGGGACGGGAAGAGGGGGGCTGGGAAAGGGGCTGGGCGCCGGAGGCGACCAGCAGAGAGGCCAGAGGGAAGGAGGGCTAACCTGTTGGGGCGAAAGGGGACCCCCATGTGTTGGCGCCGGTGGGCGCTAGAAGGGGAAAGGGCACCCAGAGGCGAGAATGCATCATTGCACCTTCCCATGGCCCGCACCCTTGCTTGCATACAGACAGACACACCTGTGCCCTATGACTGAGGAAAGGGAATCCAAGTTTAGGAGGTCAGAGGGGGTTCAGAATGTTAGAAATTATCCGACAGCCTGATTTTATTGTTTAAATCATTGCAAACCCTATATAGCGTTATCTAGGAGCAAAGCACTATTCTAACACACTTCACACGTAGTAACTCATTTAATCCTACTAACCTTAGGAGGTAGGCTCTATTATTACCTCCCGTTTTACAGTTCACATTGACGACCGGAGAAGGCATGGAACTTGGCCGAGTCGCACAGCTAGTAAATGGCAGTGCCCGGGAAGCTCAGCGATCTCCTGCCCTCTCCTTGTCCTCCCCAGCCCCTGCAGCCGGCTACCCTGGCGCGGTCTTCATAGGCCCAGCTGCACCTACTCCTTCCGACGCTTCTCTCCACCCCCAGCTCCGCACGGGGCGTGAGTGGGCTGTTCTGTTCTCCCCTGCTAGGTCCGGGCCAGCGCCATTGCTCAGGACGCGGACCAGAACTACGACTACGCCAGCAACAGCGTCATACTGCACCTGGATGTGGGCGACGAGGTCTTCATCAAGCTGGACGGCGGGAAGGTGCACGGCGGTAACACCAACAAGTACAGCACCTTCTCTGGCTTCATCATCTACCCGGACTGAGCAGGGCCCCATGCCCCGGATCCCTGCTCCCCCTTCGCCTCCGCTCCCCTCTTCACCCACCTTCAGCCGGCCGCACCCAAGGCGCCACCCTATCCCTCCAGAGCCTGGCGGTGGGGCGGGCCCTCCCGCCCCCGGAGGCGGCCGTGCTGGGCGGACCCCGGGCGCTCCGGGGACGCCCTGGGATCTACGCGGCCGGGGAGAGGAGGAAGCCGGGCTGGGGAGGAGCGGAGCGGCTCGGGAAGCGGCCACCGGCTTCAGAGAGCGCGCCTATGAAAGCCAACCCGAGGCGGGCGGAGGCCGGGCCCTCTCTTCTGCTAGGAGCTGGGGAACAGCTTCACCCCCCGGAGCCGCAAGCAGAAAGGAAGCCCCTGCATTTGGTGGTGGAGGTGGTGTGTGTGCGGGGATGGAGAGCAGAAACAGGAGCCCATCTGGGTGGGAGGACAGGAAACTTTTGTTTGGAGGGGGTCAGGCTCGTCCCCTGTCACCACAACTTTCTCTCACCATTCTCTTTTCAGGCTCCAGGCACTGGCCTTGGCAGCCTTCCTGTGAACTGAAGGAACAAGTGAATTCTTTCCTAGCATTTAAAACTCATTCTGTACAGTCCCCATTTCACCCCCTTCCTGCCTAGGCCCTGGGGCTGCAGCTGCTGATGCCTCTTCCAATAAAGCGAAGTTGGAGAATGTGTGTGCCTCTTAACTTGGTGCACAGTTGGGGGAAATTGGCTGACCCTTTCCCTCACTCCTTTCAAGGACTCTCACCCTACCACTCTCCACCAGAGGTAAAGGATTACTTATTTATTCCTGGCAAGGCCTGTCTCTGGTGGAAAAGGGGAGTAGCCCAAGGCTTCTTCTACTCAAATATGGGAAGGGAGGTGTATCAGCTTCAGGAGAGCTTGGAGACCTACTGCAGGGAGACACCAGCCAGGGTGACACTAACAAGGGAGGATTCCAGAGATATGGGTCCCATCCTTCTGCTTTCTGCCTGATGCAGGTGAACTTATAAGAAGAGGAGCTCTGGGGGGTTGAGGAGTTGGTGATGACTCCTGGGAGTGGCATTGATCTCAAGAAGCAAGAAGAGCAGATCCCCAAAGGCCCACATTCACGACTCTCTCCCCCTGCCCCCCCACCCCCATATTGCTTGCTGAGGGGTGGGGATGGGGAGGAGCAGTTTGTCCCTTTAGGATAGCTCTTAGGTGAGGGAGTCTGGGGGAGCCCAGGGCCCACCTCTAAGCTGGAGGACACTGCCACCGTGTGGGCAATTGGAGAGCAACAGTCGTAGCTGGCCTAGGTCAACCCAGAGGGAAACAGACATTTGGACACTTTAGAAACTTTATTGGGGCGCCTGTGTGGCTCAGTCAGTTGAACGTCTGACTCTTGGTTTTGGCTCAGGTCATGATCTCTCATGTTTGTGAAAGGCCCCGAGTCAGGCTTTGAGCTGACGGCCTAGGGCCTGCTTGGGATTTTCTTTCTGCCCCTCCCCTGCTTGAGTTCTCTCTCTCTCTCTCTCTCTCTCTCTCAAAATTAATAAATAAACATTTTTAAAAAAGAAACTTTATTGAAGGGTAATAAATAAGGGCTAAAAGGAAGGAGCAAGGCAGGACAGGATGTGGATGCATCATGATAGACAGTCCTGTGGGGCAGCAGAACCAACTGGAATAAAACACTGGAGAGAGAGATCTTGTCACAGCCCAGCCATCCTTGAACTGTAGCCAACCCTTCCCCACTGACCACTGCAAAGAAGCAGAGGCTATCATCCCCTGCCCCCAGCCCTCCCTCTCCCCACACCACCCTACTTTCCACAGGCTTGCTGTGCAGGCACAGCTCTGCTGTGAAGGGGAGGCTCACCAGGGCGTCCTGCCATTCAAGTAACGTGGCCACAGGGTTGGTACAGGCTCGGGTGGGGCCTGACGGTGGGGCTCGGCTGGTATAGAAGGCACACTCATCATCCAGGCGGGCCTCGTGGAAGCCGTGGATGGCAGTCAAACATGCTTTGAGGCGCTGTCTCAGAGCCAGTGTTCGAGGGGCCAGGTTGCTGGGGCCTGAGGGCCGAGGGCCACAGAGACCTGAGGACAGACTCTGGGGTCCTAAACTCCCACCATATACAGCGCTTCCCCACTCCCCCACCAAGGGCTACACCATTAGCAGCACACAGCTTGAGGCGCAACTCCTCCCTTCTCCCTGAAGGGAGAGCGCCAGGCTGGGGCAGGGTAGGTGGGGAAATGCAAGCAATGGGACCAGCTGGTGCAAGGTAGGGGCCCGCTCCCAGTGAGAGAGGAGGACCTCCTTTGTTCACAAGCCCTTCCGGCTGACTCCTTACCTGCCTGGCCTGTTGACCGGAGTGAGTGAATGGGGGGGCTGGCACAGAGTGGGTGTTGGGAGGAGAAGATCAGGCTGGTGGTCGCTGGAGCCCACTGACGACAGCAGGGCTTTGGGCTGAACTCTGGACTTCTGGGTTCCAGGGAGCAGGCCTCTGATGCCCCAGGGTCTATCCTAGGGGAGGGCTCTAGGAGTCCAATCTGCCCGTGGGAGTCTGCCGGAAGGGGTCCAGGTTCTCCTGGAGGGCAGGGCTCTGATACCTCAGGCTGTTCCTGGACAGAGGGTTCTGGTATCCCAGGCTCCTTGCTATGGCTGGGCTCTGGGGGTCCTGGCTCTGCTGCAGGGCAGGGTTGAGCTATTTCCAGCTTTGCTCCTGGGCAGGGGTGTGGCTCCCCACATTCCTCTGGAAGGCAGGGCTTTGGTAGCCCAGGGTTCTGTAACACTCCAGGAAGGTGTAAGGCTCCTGAATTCTGCTTCGGGGCATTCGGAGTACTAGAAATCTCTGCCAGCAGGGGCTGAAGTTCAACCATATCCAGAGTGGAGCCTCCATTCAGGGGGACATACGTGCCCTCTGGGAGCCCTTCTACCTCCTGTCGCAACAGCTGCTGCAGGATATTGATGCGCTGTGGGGGGGAGAGGAGTACCCAGCATGATGTCAGGGTGTGGGCTCAAGTCTCCACCCACACTGTCCTATTCCCATACTTCCCTCTCCTCCTGCATCCCCTTCCCAGCGGTGTCCTGGCCAATCAGGCATCAAAGCTGTTGCCCACACAGACCCACCTGCATCTTCAGCTCCTGGAGCTTGGGGGTTGTGCCAGGGCGGGGTCCATGAGGAGCTGCCACAGCGGGTTTCCCAGGCCCCTCGTGCAAACTCACACAACTCTCCTGGTCAAATAACCGGACTGCAATCTGCTCCTGCCACATGGGAGGACAGGGCCGCGTGAGGAAGCCGGGCTGGGGCAGGAAGGCCAGTCCAGTCCCACCCTCACGAAGAAGGGACGTGGTGAGGCGAGCGGCCCTAAACGGAGATTAGGAGGGGCAGCAGAGGGGGAGGGAGAGTTGGAGAGTTGGAAGCTTTGGCAGAGAGCCCACCTGCCTTAAACTGCTGGGCTCAGACCAACGGGACACAGAGAGGGATCTCAGCATGGAAAAGCCTGAGATACTTACCCAGGGCAGGGCAGGCTCTTCAGGGCAAGGCTGAGGGGAGAGGCCACTCAAACACTGGGCCTGAGACAGAAGTGAGACAATCATAGCTCTCTCTGTGCCCATCCCTCCCCTTCCTCCCCCGCCCTGGCCTGTGCCAGCTACCTCCCCCGCTCTCTCCTCTCTCCCTTACCTGCTGAGCTCTGGGGGCCGATGGGATGGGTGTGAACTGGATTTTGGGGCGAATGGCAAGACGCCGCAAAACTGAATACGAGGTCTGGGGAGAGAGGAGGATGGGTGAGCAGGAACAAAACCCAACCGAGCAGGGGTCCCAGCCAGATGGCTCTGCCCTCGCCCAGCCCCCGGGAGTTGTGGATACAAACTGGAGCTGAGGCGCCAGGCGAGGGTACGCGCTGAGCCCGTCCGAAAGGTGATGGATGGGCCATGGAAGGTGTCACCACACGGCCAGGAGAGGGTATCAGGTGGGAGGCACGGCCGTCCTGTGGGGAGGAACGAGGCGGAAGAGGGATCGCTCCCCCCTTGCATTCCTATGTCTTCTCATTGCAGCAGCCAGTGCCATTCCATGAAGACCTAATCAAATCCTCTCTCTCTCTTGTTCATGACCCCTCTCCATGGCTTTCCACTCAATCCAAAAAACAGCCAAGGCCTCACACTGGTTTATAAATCCTTACCCAACCTGATCTCGCCATCGTCTAACCTCGCTTCCTGTCATCCTTCTTGCTCTGCTTCAGCTTGGCTGGAGTCCTCTTTCTGCCAATCCTTAAACACATGAGGCACATTCCCTCTCTAGGGCCTTTGCAGCGGCGGTTCTTCTGGCCTGGAATGTCCTTCTCCCAGATACCTGCACGGTTCACTCCCCAGCTCCTTTTGGTCTTCACTAGAATTTCATCTGCTCAATGCGATTCCCCTGACCAATCTATCTGAAATTACAACATCTCACTCCCCTACTTCCCCACCCCCTTCAGTGCCTACTTTTTTTTTTTTTAACTTATCACCAGCTGACATGCTACATTATTTTACATATGGGTTTATTTTTCATCTCCCTCTTCTTGAATATGAACTTGTTTACTACTGTGTATCCAGAACCTAGAGAACCGTGGAGTGAATGAATGTCAGGTCTGTCTCATTCTCAGCACTGATTTAATGGTGATACAAATATATACCAGACTGTGACCTCTTGGCCCAAGGCTCCTGCCACCTGGTAAGCAGAGGCTAGTCCCACTCTGGAGAGGCCTTGGGCCCATGGGGCAAACACAGGCTCAGTTAGCATTCCAAGGCCCACCCACAACCCTCAGGGCTGGCTGCTGCCAGAGAATTCCCCCAAACATCTCCCCCGCCTCTCCCCGTCCCAGAAGGGACCCATCTCACCCTGGTGTGGGTTATCTCTCTTAATGGTACCCGCTGGGCCAGACCTAGGGGGCCCCCTCCTCCTTCATCAGAGTGAGTAACAACTTCATGTTCTCCTTCAGGGAGAGAGGGAGCTACGAGGAGACAGGAAATTTGCTGTAGTGTCTAGAACACACACCGATGTCTGGCATAGGGTTCTGCAACCTCCAAAGAGGGTATGCCAGCTTGACGGCCCCCACTGTACCATCAGATGTGAGGACCCATCCAGCATCCCCTTGGAGCCCAGCACTATCCCAGTAATCA